AAAAAAAAAAAAAATTTAATTCTATTTAATGTCGATTCTATTTAATGCTTCAAGAAATCCTAAAATCACTTAATTTTTAATACCAAAGATCAAAAAAACTGTTATAACCAATGTTGTTTAATTCTGTAGCTCTATTATTAATTAACTTTAATGATGACGATAATGTACAACAACAGAATTTTTTTTATATAAATTCCATTGCTACATTGCGCAGTAGCCAACACTAATTCTAATGCGGTTGCATGATGTCATTGAAAGCTTTACCTGAGTCTTAATCTATTATTATTGTGAGAATAAAATCAGTTTATTTTTGTAGTCTCTTTTCTTTAACAATTTTATGTACTGATTGCATTTTGAGTATATAGATAATGCATATTATTGTATCACAAAAAACAAAGAAAGTTATCATATCATCATAGTATCACAGGATTTCAATGTTTTCTTTTTTTCTTTGTATTAGTTATACAGTACCTGAGATATGTACCTGGGATATGTGTCTGTTCACAATAGGTGTTGCCAGCCTCTTGTATTGATGATGCAATAGTAAACGTGATTAATATCACATATTTATTAGTGATAGCTTTATATGTAATTTAGTACCATGATGATATAATGTTAATCACAATTCAGAAAAAGATATAAAAAAAATGATTAGGACACGCAAACTTAATTTTTCGGTTTGCATTATCCGCCGACCCTTTTTTTCAATTTTTTCAATTTTTTTTTTTTATAGTTCTGACTGTCCAAATTTGAAAATAATTATATTAAACAAGAAAATAACTCTATTCTTTAAAACTAGCAAATTTATTTAACAAACTGAATTAAAAGAATTATATTAAAAAATTGTTTTTGCAATTAAATTTATTTAACTAATTGATGGTATCAGCATTCTTAATTAAATTGATTTGAATCAGATTTACTGAGTTCAATCGATAATTACAATAAATTTAGAAACCTGTTCATTACAATGAATGATTAATATACAAAAAACATCTGAAATTTAACTATCAGAAAGCCTCACATGGTATCCTTTAAGAAAATTATAGGTATCAATTTCAAATTGTATATTTTTTGGCAAACGAAAACTGTAAGAGAAAAAACGATGTGATAATACAAATTCAGCAGCAGTTAGAAAATAAAAAGTGACTGTTATTTTAGTTTTATTGTAAAAGGATATTATGCAAAGTTCCTCAAAACATTCAGAGAATAAATTTTGCTTTATTAAGCATTCCTTATATTTTCTCTTTGTACTGTAATTAGAAATACGTTTTATCTATATTTTTCAAGAACTTGTATTTAAAGTACATTATCATATAACTAAATTTAAAAAAAAAAAAAAAAAATTTACAATAATCATTATCATTGCGTTTATGTAGCTTTGTGTGAATCTTAATGGGTTGATTCATATGACCTTATCTCTGCCTTAACGTAGGCAGAGATAAGGTCATGTGATAGATGTTTTATAATGCCGATCAACAATCTTAACAACAACTTTGATAAAATAGAAAATTCTCGTTAAAAGATACAAAATGAGTGACGCTAAAGAAAAACCAGACCTAGAGCTTATTATTTATTATTTATCAAGCTATAATTTATTTGTATTTACTTATGTATCATACTTACCTTCGACCAGTGAGTTTAATAATAAATAAAAATATAAGTTATAAAATAAAATTTCAGTAAAAAAAAATCAATTCAATTTGGTTTAATAGATAATAAGATTAACAACACATGTTGAATTTCTTGACCAGAATCTTACCGATTTAAACTAGAAAACTGTTCTAAAATTGGTTGTCTTAACATAAACAATATAAATAAATATAATTTAACAATTTAATATTCATTAGATAATTAGCAAGCCAGATTCGTGTCAAAAGGTGGTAATTAGAATTTTTCTGGCTTAAAATCCAAAAGTGACGGAACAACATCATCAACTTCTATATGCTCATTCGTAATAAATTTATTGGGAACCCAAATTACCCTCATGTTTGCTTTTTGGGCGGCGATAACACCGTTTATCGAATCCTCAAAAATCAAGCATTCTTTTGGAGGAGGGTTCCCTAATATTTCACAAGACTTTATGAATATATCAGGTTCAGGCTTGCCATTATTAACATCATTACCGCAAATAATATGATCAAACATGTTAAATAAATCTTTATTATTGCGAGCCTTTACGTCAAAATTCTTTCGGCTCGAACTCGTCGCAATGACTAAAGAAATCTGATTAGCTTTTAAATGTCTGATCAATTTTACCGCATCTGGCATAGAGGTTGGAACCGGTTTTAATAATTCGAGTTTATCACGTGAATTTTGTGATATTTTAGAATTTAATCCAATTA